AAAATAAATAAATAAAAATAAAAATAGAAATAAAATATTCTTTCATTTTTATAATTCAAATTAAATTAAGTAAGTAAATAAGTATCTCAACTTTTAATCTTTGTTTATTTTTGAGAATAAATTGATTTTTTATTACTTTAGATTTAAAGCCAATTATTTAATATTTAAATGGTCTTGAATTATCATAGAGATACTACTTGCAGCTTCACTTAAAAGATTATTAAATCTAAATACATATTTTACAACAAAATTTTATTTTAAAAATATTTTAATCAAAATTAATTACTAAAGATCCAGACTGAAGCAGTTTATTTTCTTAATTTCTTTTAAGCATTTAGCTAAAATTTAAAAAGCACTTTCAGATATATTGGATTTACTTATTATTTTATAGTTAAATTTATTTTAATTAATTTTTAAAAAAATATTTTCCTAAAAATAAAATCAGTTTAAAAAGAATTTTATGGTAAAGAATATTAATAATAAAGATTTTATATTATTTTAAAAAAATAATTGAAAATATTAAATAAACCTAAAATTAAGAGAAAGTGATGTCAAATTCTTGCATTATTATAATCCTTAAGCAATATTTTTTGTTCCTTTTTACCTAATTTAATTTTCACTAAAAAAAATATTATTTAAAAATAATAGATAATGAGTTATTAATTAAATGAATTATTTCAAAAATAAATAATAAAATTACCTAAAATCCAAGCTTAATTAAGTTAAATTTTAAAGCTTCATTATAATTTATCCTATTAAATTTGTTTCTTTCATACCAATTGAATTTCCTCTGTTGTAATTTATTAATTATAATAGACTTACATTTAAGTTTGATTTAGAATTTTTAAAAATTTTAACTTAAAATTGATATCTAGTGAATTTAAATTGACACATTGTGATAAATTCATTCCAAACTTATCTAAATTAATTTTTCCTAACTAGCAATAGCTTTTTAAAATAATATATGCATATTGATCGATTCTTAAAGCAATTAACATTCAAATATTTTAAATCGAATGAAAAGTATTATACGTTAAATCAAGCTTAAGAGTCTTTAAATTTTTGCATTTTTATAAGCTTAATCCAATTTTTTCTAAGTCTTTACTACTTATTAAGTAATAACTTTTCATTTAAAATGATGTTCAAATTAACTTTTAAAAGATGTAAATTTTGCTTACTGAACTTTTAAATATAAAAAATCCAATTTTTCACACTTATAAAAGCTCCAATCAATATCATCATCTTAATATGTGGAATATTCATTAAAAAATTTTCTAATTTTAAAAATTTAATAAGAAATTTCAGATACTATATTACAATAATTGAGTATAATGATTAAAAATTATATACTAAAGTATTAAACTTAGATTATTCAAATTTTTTAATCTATAAAAGCATATTTCTTTTTCAAGACACTCTTAAGTAAAATTATTATTCCTAAATAAATAAATAAATAAATATATTTTTAGTACATTTTTTATCAATTTTATTATTTACTATAAATCTAAATGTAAAACACTCAAGTTCTCATTCATTTCTAAATTTCTTATGATTTAGTTTACTTACTCTCCATTAATTTTACAATTTCTTTTCAATAAATAAAAAACATATTTGCTTGTTTTGATTAGATATAGAGAAAAAAAAGAAATTTTTTAATTCTTTACGATAATATTAGCTTTAAATTAGTTAAACTTTTATATGAATAAAATTTTCCTTCTTATTGAGAAAATATACCTTCTAAATTATTATTTTGCAAATTCAATTCTAGAAACTGTATTTTTTCCAAAGATTGTATGCTTGTTAAAATATTTCTAAAATCCTCGTTGATTAATTCACAATAACTTTTATAAAATAAATAAATAAATAAATACATTTCAAATTTAAATGATTTTACTTAATTTTAAATAAATTTATTTGAAACATTATTTTACCTAAAATTGAGATTTAAAGTGATTAAATTTTTACAATTTTATAAATTTACTAAAAAATAAAGAATTCCTTATCTAATTTTACAGTGACTATATTTTATAAATTATACTTAATTTAGTATTTTAATAAAATATTATGTAAATGTTTACCTTAAATCAAAATTTAAAAAATATAAATTTTTATACAAAGCAAAGCTTTGACTTAAATTTGATATATCTTATGAATTTATCCCACTATTAATATTTAAAAATAAAATTAAAATTAAAATATTTTTCAAAAAATTACCTTAGATTCAAATCTAAATAAACTATGTTAACACATTTAGATAAACCTTAAGCAATATTAGAAACTTTTTATTCTGTATCAAAACAAAACCAGTTATACTTTTGAAATTTTAATTCTAAGAAATTAAGATTTCTACATTAACCTATCCACTCACCTAATAACTTTTCCCCTTTTCCTTTTGTGTTCAGGCTATTTATATAAAAATTGATTAATTTAACAAAATCTTTAATTAATAGAGACTTTTATTTTATGAGAAAGACAGGATTAACTCTATAAAAACTTATTATGAGAGAAAAAAAGAATAAAACATTTTTTAACCATTCAAATTTTAATATTTTAAATGTAATTTTTAATTTAAATTTAAAAAATGAATTATTTAAATAATTTACTCTAAATTAAGGCTTAAAGATTACAAATTAACACACGGACTAATACATTAGATGAGATACTCTGTGAATTTATCCTTAGTATCACTAAAGAAAATATTATAAAAATATGAATTATATCTTAATAAAATATAAAATTTCAAAAACATTTTACCTAGAATTATATTCAAATTAACTTGATTCACAAATATTTACTCTTAAATATTCTAACTTTTTACAATTTTATAAGAAACTACCTAGAATAAAAACATCCTCTTATTTAGGTAGTATATCACTATTAAAAATTAGAGATTAGTATTTAAATCAAATATCAATAAAAAATTTAAAATAGATTTTAAAAATAAAATAATTCATTCATTCATTAAT